TTAGTGATGGTCAGCCCTGCCCCCCCAACCAGCTACCTTGTACACAAAACAGCTTTTGTAAAGGATGGGTAACCACCCCTTCTGATTCACCTAGTCTTACCCCAAACCCTCTCATTATCCCTGTTAACAGATGAGGAAGCTGAGGCCCAGAGAGGTTCAGCAACTTTTTAAGGGTCACACAGCCTCCTACACCTGCCCCCCATCTCCTGTGCTCTAAAGCCACCAACACTGACTGTCTCATGGGTGCAGAAACTGAAGCCCAAAGCTGAATGAGTAGGGGATCACGTGGGGGGGGGGTGCAGAGAAGGAAAGGAATCATTGCCCACCGCCCTGATTCCAGTCTGGAGCTGGGAGGTGCCCTTGCTCTCCTGCTGCAGGTCCATTCCTACTACCAACAGCCAAGGGGAGATCTCACTGAAATCCCTGAGCTCAAGTGAAAGGACCGGACAATTCCTGTAGCCTGGGACACTTTGCTGCAAAGCCCAGAAGCCCTCCACAGTGTCAGCATGTGGCTATCTGTTTCTGGATCCTGGGTTCCTAGTCAGTGAAACAACAGAGAAATCCAGTTCTGCTTGGACTCAGATGAGGATGTGGATGTAAGAGAAAGAGGGTTCTGTGAATGGGAAACTTTGCAAATATGGGGGTGGTCTTGGATCCACAGGGATGTTGGTTTGAACTCCGGGTCGGTTTAGACTAAGAGAGTGAGGACGTCCCTCCATATAGCCCTCTTGACCCCCACTGCTCTCAACATATCCCTCCCCAGCTCTAAGCCTACCCAGAGCCCCGACTGTCTGCAGGACAGTTTCCGCACAACCATTAGACTAGGAGATACATGGTGGGAGGTCTCTGATGCCCTATAAATGTTGGCCTTCCTGTCTTTTCAAGCTTTCTACCTCCATTCAGGACCCACGTCAGCAACCTGGGGTTCCTTTACCCACCCTGCCAACTCCCACCCACCCATCTGGGCCATGCCATATTGACCAGAGCCAGCAGGGGTCAGAAATCACCCAGAAATAAAGAGCTGGAGGCAGAAAACAACCTTCCTGGTGTACTATACAACCTAGAGGGATTCGTATTATTTCCATGTTACAGATGGGGTGACTGGGGCTCAGAGAGGTTCTCTCAGTAGCGTTGGGTCACACACAGGGACCCAGCACAACTCCAGGAGTCTGGACCTGGAGCCCAAAGCCTCAATCACTCTGCATGCACCTTTGCCACTCAACACCCGATGGCTCCACACCCAATTACAAAGGGGATGCCACTTGTCTGGGGCCACACCTGAGGCTCCCAGGCCACCTTCCCCTACAGCCTCCCTCCACCAGCTGAAATTGCCAATCCTGCGCATCTTGCTGGAGAAAGAGGACCAGAGGCCCTGGCCGGTTTGGCTCAGCGGTTAGAGTGTTGGCCTGCAGTCCAGAGAGACCCAGGTTCGGTTCTCGCTAAGGGCATGTACCTCGGTTGTAATTTGTCCCCGGCCCTGGTTGGGTCGTGCAGGTGGCAGCCACTCGATGTGTCCCTTTCACGTCGATGTTTCTCTCTGTCTCTTCCTCTCTCTCCCTCCCACTCTGTCTGAACAAAAATGGAAAAATGTCCTCTGGAAAAATGTCCTCGGGTGAGGATATAAAAAAAAAGAAAGAAAGAGGACCAGAGGAGGAGAGCTTTTTTTTCCTTTATTGATTTGAGAGAGAGAGGAAGGGAGAGGGAGAGATAGAAACATCGATGAGAGAGAACATCAATTGGCCGCCTCCTGCATGCCCCCCACTGGGGATCAGGCCCACAACCTGGGCACGTGCCCTGACCAGGAATCGAACAGATGACCTCTTGGTGCATGGGTCAACACTCAACCACTGAGCCACACTCGCCAGGCAGAGGGCTTTTAATTTTAGAAAGAATTATGGCCACATAAGGACTCCTGCTGGCTTTTCCAGGCACAAAGATGCAGGATAGGGAGAGCCCGTGGCCTCTGCTGCACCCTCCTCCCCAGAGGGACTTGGGAAGCCTCCTGAGCTCCTGACTGCACCCTCCCCACAACTCCTCCCATGGCTTCCCCACCTGGAGCCACCCTCTCCTCCCAGGTGGTCTGTCTCCACAGCAACATCCCCCTCACAGGTGGTTGTAACCTTGGCAACCAGGTAACCTTGCCACCCCACTGCCTGGGAGGTTCTACCTCCTAGCTGCACCCTCTTCCCACGCACCCTTTGCTCCCCATGGTAGCATCCCACTGGGGGTGCTGAGCCCACCTCCCTCTCTTTCCGAATGCCAAAGTGCGTAGTCTAGCCATTTGCTGAGCACCTACTATCTGCTCCAGGGGCACAGCAGTGAGCAAGACAGGAGTGGTCCCTGCCCTCGGTGGGCTCACACTGGGGACAATGTAAGAAGATGCTGGCCAAGGACAGAAAGAAGACAAGCAGTGGTTTCAGAGAACAGAAGACCATTTGAGAGAAACAGGGTGCTGCTTCCCCCAACCTCAGACTCCCCAGAAACTCCACCTCTGGGAGCAAAATCTACCACCCTCATTGTCATTGGGTCACTGGTCCATTCAACCAATGTTCATTGCATACCTACTGTGTGCCTATTGGAGCCACAGCAATTTTTTTAAAAGGCCACATAATAAACAGGATAATCAGCAAATTATAGAGCATCTTAACTAGAGAAGTGGTGAGGAGGGAATGATGAGAGAGGCGGCAAGGGGTGGGGAGATGTGAGTCAGAAGGAAATCGAAGAGGATCTGGGCAGATGTCTGGGGGAAGGGTAGTGGAGGCCGTGGGAGCAGCCATGCCAAAGTCCTAAGATGGCATGTGCCCTTGGCCTCACCCTGCTCTTCAGCCAGCAGTCTAGAACAATTACCACAAGCTGGACAGAGCCACCAGCACTGTGGTGTCCCCCTCTGTCATCAGGACCGGAGTCTCTGCAGCCCTAGAACATGGGTATTGTTCAGGAAGTGGCAGGACCAAAATTTGAACCCAAACCATTGTGTTGGTTAGCCCCCCTCACCCTATAGGACTCATCTCCAGTGACCCCTCCCTGAAGAATCATCCCTGACCCCCAGCCTAAGCCGAGCACTGGGTATCTCTCTGAGTTTTCCACCCCACTTGGTGATTATTTCATGAGTCTGTTCCACTCCCCTTCCATGGCAAGTCCCCTGTTCCTCTCCAGCATCTCTCCCTCCTGGTACATAGTAGGTGCTTAGTAAACTTTTCTTCAAGACCCCTGAGAGGCAGGCATCAGGAGGAAGAGAGGGAAGCTCAGAGAAGAGAACTGTCCCAGGTCACATAGCTCATCCCAGGTCACATAGCTTGTCCCAGTGATGACTTCTCCTGTGCAGGGCCCTGGGCTGGCCTTAGGGGTGGGGAACCATGAGTCAGAGGCACTCAGGTCCTCTTTCTGCACCTCTGGGAGTCAGGGGGCCAGGAAGGGAACCACCCCCTCGGCCTGAGGAGGGCCTGGCTTTTGGCCTCCTGGGATGCAGTTTCTGGGCCTTTGGCCAACAAGTCAGTCTGGGAACAGAGCCTGCTTGAGTCACAGGTGGCTGAGCTGATGCCAGGCCATCATCAAAGCAGTTTGAAGGACGCAGTGGTCAGGGAGGGCTGGGGGGAACAGTGCAAGGTTACACTCACATAGCCCCCAAGCCAGTCAGGCCTGCCTTGAACCTCTCACTTGGGTCAAATGGCATCTCTGAGCCTCAATTTGCTTATCTGTGAAATGGGGAAAACTGTTCACCTGTGGCAGTGAGGAGCTGAGAGCCCCTGTTTAGAATGGAGACCAGCACATAGTAAGTGCTTGGCCATCGCAAGTGGGGTTATTAGCATGATGGGGGAGGCCCCCCACCCTGCAGCAATGCCCTGCCTCCCCTGCCAGACTCCACAGTGTGAGTCCCCTGAATAGGGCAGCACTCACTCCTGGCCAATGCTGGGCAGGCCCCATCCTAGAGGGTCAGGACACCCACTCCTGGTCCCATTTCTTCCCTGGCTCCTTTCTACACGGAGCTACATACCCCAGCCTGAGTCGGGAAAAGGGACACTTCACCCCGATGTTCCATGATTCCAGGATGTGTGCTCCAACAAGATGCCTTTCATTGCCTTTCAACCTCCTAACATGAGGTTCCCAAGCATGGGGGCCTCCACATTGGTCACTGTGTGTAAAAGCAAGACTCTCATTCTCCTGCCAACATCCCTTGAGCACCCTCAAACTGCACAGGTCTGGGGAGTATGTGAAAAGCCTCGTTAGTCAGACAAACACAAGTTATTACCAACTGGCTAAGGAAACATGGAGGGAAAGGCATTCCAGCCAGGCAGAGGGAACAGAGGGTGCAAAGGCCCTGAGCCTGGAGAGCGTGGCATGTTTGAGGAAGAGCAAGAGGATCTGCATTGGGATCAGAATGAGGGGAGGGAGGAAGACAAGGTAGAGTTTAGGCAAGATCCTGAGGGTAGTGAGGAGCCAGAGTTGGTTCTGGAGGCTGTGGTTAAGCTTCCTCTGGGATCCACGTGGGGAATGGACCTGGAGGTCTGGCCTGACAGAGTCTGGAAGAGGCTTGGGCAAGTGTCCCAAGTGCCAGGTGGTGGAGGCCTGGACTGGGAAGGCATGGAGGAGGGGGTAGGTCCCAGAAGGGCACAGATTAGGGTCCCTGCGTTTTCTGCACCTCAGCCTCTGCAGGCCCACCCTGGCCACAGGAGTCCTCAGAAGCGCCCCAGAGCGGGCAGGGAGCACATTAAGGTGTACTCGCTCCGGGTCTTGGTCCCCCGGCCCTGGCGGCACCATTGGCGCACGTCCCGGCGCCTGCGCGCACGTGTCACCGTGAGCCCTGCAGCCCCGGACACCTGCGGCCCGGGAACCCACACCCCAGCAAGCAGGACGCGCGCACGGCCGAGCGCAGCCCCGCGCGTCCCCGCCCGGCGCACCGGGAGGTTGGCGGCGGGCACGCGACGGCGGGAGCGCGCACGGCGGGCCCGGGAGGCGGTGGCGGCGGCGGTGGCTCGTGTTGGCTCCGGCGGCCCCCGCGCCGCAGCCCGTGCGGTGTCTGCGGCGGAGCCGCCCAGGTGAGTGGCCGCAGCGGGCCCAGCGACCCTGCTCCACCTGCGCCCCGCAGTCCCCATTCTCGCCCGCGGGGCACTCGCCTCGCGCTTCCCACTCGGGCACATCGCCCCCTCACCAGGCCCCTGCGCTCCCCCTGGAAACTTTGGGGGCCACTCCCCACGCTAGGGACCCCCGCCGCTCCACCGGGGCACCGAGGAACGGGGAGCCAAATGGACGTCTCTTTGGGGCAGTGAGGACTCCTGGGGAGATGTGTCCCCTCCATGGGTGGAAGAAGGGAGCACTGGCCAGGTGGGAGGACAGGGACAGTGGGGATGGAGGCTTCAGCCCGGGCTCCTTCCTGCGGTCTCTCACTGGGGTTTGGTCCAGCGGGAGGGGTGTCGGTGCCAAGCTGCCTGGAAGGCGATGGAGGCGTTTGGTGTCCACACCAGGACCTGCTCCATCCCTGGGCCTGGAGACAGCTCAGCTTGGCTGGAGGAATTTGGGGGTGCAAGGCTAAGTCCCTTGCGCTGTGGAGTAGTGTCCAAACAGCACCAAGGATGGTGGAGGACTTCTGTCCATCCCCTGAAGCTGGGCCTGATTCCCCTAGGGCCTCTGGGGTCTGGCCAGGGAGGCCACTGAGCCCTATTCAACAAGTTGGGGGGGGGGGGCAGGGAGCACCTAGTGCCTTGGTCTGGACCCAAGAACAGGCCCAGCCCTTCCTTTGGAGAGCACCTTAAAACCGCTTTCTTCAGCATGTCCCCTGGGCACTAAAGACTCATATACCCCAGCCCTCCACTTCTGAGGAATCAGAACTTTGGGGGTTTGGGCCCCAGAACTGGCATTTTTAACAAACGGCCCCTGGTGAATTCGCATGTGCACAGAGCTGGTTAAGAACTTCTTGCTTCTGGTGGAGGAGGAGTAAGAAGGGGACATCTGGTAGCAGGCAAGAAGACCATTTGGGACTTGATGATGGGGGACCTTTGGGGCAAACAGGGCTGAGACTTGGAGCAACCCAGGAGGGCTCCGTGAAGGAGGTGTGGAGTGTGGAAAGGTTGTGGTGTGTGAGTGCCCAAAGGTGGAGAGCACAGGGTCTCAGTGTGGATAAGGCGGTGGAAACCAGGTGTGTGGATGGGGAGGGGGTGGTCTTTGTCTGGACTCTGGGCCGGGGTGGACTGTGGACTCATTGCCTCAAAGCAACAGCCATGTGAGACAGGATCTGGGCTGGAAGATCCCGTGAGCCTACCCAGGGCTCCCCCATAGAAGCAGTGTTCACTCTATCTGGATTACATGGGGTGACAGGAAGAAGCCACCCAGCCATGGGATGGGGCTCAGAAAGGTTAAACCCAGCCTTCTTCCTGCTGCTCTTCTGTTCCTTGCCCTAGCTGGTGACTTCTGGCAAAAGACAGCCCCTCTCTGAGCTCCAGTTTTGAGACAAACCCACACCGGATTTACTTTACACAAACTGAGACAAATGGCCACACATCACGCCCTGCCTTGTGCTGCTAGAAACTAGATACTCAGTTAATAAGGGACTGCTATTATAATTATCACTATTACAGCAGTTCAGCCTTGCACCTACCTGCTCAGCCTCAGTGTGCTCATCTGTAGAATGGGGGTGGTTATTCTTAGCCTCCCCCAGATTAAGTTGGCCCAGGACCTGAAGGTGCCTTGCTGAGTGGGAATAAAAGCAGATCTGAGGCAGCAGCTTGATTTCTCTTCCCACAGTGCTGTCATTCCCAGGCACCCCTGAGTCACCCCCTAGTCACCAGGTAGAGAACTCTCCAAACAAAGCTTGTCCCAGGTGGGCCCGAGGGAGCCACCCACCAGCACGTGTCAATCCTGAGCCTCAGAAGAGAGCCCTCAGCCCTCCTCCACTCTCCATCAGGGCTCTGGGATTTAGTGGAAAGGAGCTGGCACGAGACCCAGGTTCAAATGTTGACTCTCAAGCTGAGTGATGCCAGGTGAGCTGGGGACCCTTCTGACCCTCAGTCTCCTTTTCTCCAAATGGTCTCCATTATTCCCAACCTCAGGGCTGGGCTAGTGGGTGAACAACCACAATATACAGTAGACATTCAAAAAATGGTTCCAGATCTAGAGGTCTCATTTGCAGAGGGTAGTCGACAGCCTCCCCCAACCCCCACAGGCTGGGAAGGGAAGTGGATCTGGAGGCCCCCCAGGCCTCCATGGGTTAACAGGGACTAACTGCAGAGGGAGGGTAATTAGGGCTTAATGAATTATCACGGATGAGAGCCCAGGAGCACAAATCTAGGACACTGGGGGCATTGTCAGTGTATCCCCTAAAGCAGGCCTTGGAGGGCCCCACCTCCCAAGTCTGAAGCTCGAATGAGGGACACTACCAGAGCCTGCCAAACCATGCTCCTGTTGCTCCCTCCAGCTCCAGTTGTGATGGGGTGGGGGGTAGAGGGAGGAGTGACCTGGGGACAGAGCTGCCGAGCTCCAGCATCTATTCACCATCCTGCCCCAGCCTTCCCTGTGGTTCAGCTGCTGCCTCCAGCCTGGCTTGGTTTGGTCTTGCCCAATGGAGTCTTTAGTATTCCCTGGCCTGGGAGGGGACAGGTGGTTATGTCCCACGTGGCCTGTGAGAGAGAAAGCTGACTCAGAATAGAGGAAGTGGGTGGGAAAGGAATAGGGTCCAAGGAGAAGCACTTCAGATACCCGCACTCTGCCTCACCCTTGTACTGTGAGCTTTGTGGCAAATTAGTCTAAGACAGTTTGGGGTGGAGAAGAGGAGGGATCTGTTTCCCAGGGCCTGCCGTGATGGACAGATTTGGGGGCCTCTCCCCAGGTAGGTCCCCTCACTTCAACTGATGCTGATAGCAGACCCCATGGGGAGCTCAGCCCCTTCTACTTTCCCAGTGCTTGAAGCCGGCATGCAGCCCACCTCCTCTTCAACCCCCGGAGACCCTGTGTGTGTTTCCTGTGGCTGCTTTAACAGATCAGCACAAACCTAGTGGTTTAAAACAACACAAATTTGTCATCTCACAGTTCTGGAGATCAGAGTCCTAAACCCAGGTTGTGGGCAGGTCTGATCCTTCTGGAGGCTCCAGGTAAGAATTGTTTTGGCCTTTTCCAGCTTCTAGAGGGGCTGCATCCCTGGCTCATGGCCCTTCCTCCATCCTCACAGCCAGCAGCACGGCCTCGTCCATCTCTGACCCTGACCCTCCTGCCTTCCTCTGGTGAGGATGCTGTGATGGCACTGCCCCCCTGCCCCCCCCCCCCCGTAATCCGGGGCCATCTCCCCATCTGGAGGTCAACTCATTCGCATTTTTTATTTCATTGGCAAACTTAATCCCCTTGCCAAGTCAGGTAACATTCACAGGCTCCATGAATTAGGACATGGGCATCTTTGGGGGGGCGATTGTTCCACTGACCACAGACCCTGCCTTCCCTGTTGATTTTTTCCATAGCGATGCCTGCATATGGCATGTGTTTAACTCTTCTGTTTCTCACCCATAGACAGAATGGTGGGGGTTTTGTCTGTTTTGTTCAAAGCTGTTTCCTGATAGAACTAGAACAATGTCTGGCACACAACAGGCACCCATTGAGTGCTTGTGGAGTGAATGAATGTTGTAAAAACTTGACCAAGAGCAGAACAGGGCCTAGGATTCGGCTCCTGATCCCATCTGGCACCCAGTGGAGACTGTTCCAGATACAAAGTACCTTCTTGGCTGACTTCTCATTTGCTGTCCCCTCATTAGCCGGAAAGGTGGTTACTAGTCATGGTAGTTCGTTTTGCAGAAGAGGACACTGAAGCTCAGGGCATTAAAAACCTCTGCCCATGGCAGTGGGTTGGGCTCCAATGGGAACCCAGGAGTCTCGTCCTAGTTCCGGACTCTCGCTGATTCTCTGCTCCATTCATTGGATATTACCAGGTCCTTGGACGCTCAGCTCTGTGCATAGTGAGGGTAGAAAGAGGCATAACGCAGTCCTTGTTCTCACGACATCACTTTCTAAGGAAGAGTCAAGGCTTTCTAGGCTCAGGTGACATAGGGTGATAAGGTGAGACATATTCAAGCTGCAACTCAGACACCTCATGCTCTTGCTCAAAACCCTCAATGGCTTCTACCTGTTCTTGCAGTCGACCTTTGCCAACCCCACCTCCCACCTCTAAACTCAGACACACCCGGGCCAAGTTTATTCCCATCCCAGGCTGGAGCTCAGGGGAGACATGGTGGCCAAGACACAAAATCAAGAATCATAAGTGCAGCCCTGGCCGGGTAGCTTAGTTGAATAGAACACTGATCTGATATACCAAGGTTGCAGGTTCTATCCCTGGTCAGGGCATATACAAGAATCAACAAATGAATGCATAAGTAAGTGGAACAACAAATCAGTCTCTCTCTCTCTCTCTCTCTCTCTCTCTCTCTCTCTCTCTCTCTCAAAGGAAGGGAGGGAGGGAGGGAAGAAGAGGAAAAAAAGAATCATCAGTGAATGGTGGTGTTTAGTCCTAGGAGGACAGGAGAGGCCCCAGGTAGAACAGGAGAGGCCCCAGGTAGATCTCTGGGAAGGGAGGGGGTGTGGAGAGCCCTAAAAACTTAGCCCTGCAGAAGCAGGACTGGAATCCAAACCCCCATCCTAATTGGGAACTGGGAGTCCTGGCCTTCTACCCCACTGTAAGACGCCACCCTCCAGAGACAGGAGACGGGGAGGGACCCAGAGAGGGTCCCTTGCTTGCTTGAGGTGCTCAGCCCTTTAACATCTGAAAACGGCAGAACCCGAGGGGCACTCGGCATCTGGGCTGCGGTCCCCGCGTAGCGCTCCACCGGAGACCACCCACCTGCCTGCTTTCCCACCTTCAGGCCCAGGGTCTGGGAGAGTGAGGGAACGGAGGTCCTGCAGGCAGAATCCAATTCCCACTGTTCTGTCTCCAAAAACCAGGCCTTCCCCCAAGGTGGGGGGACAGACCTTAGGGGGAAGCATCAGAAGCTCTAGCCCAGCGGCAAGTCCCCTTTCTGTGCCCCCCCAAACCCCATAGAGAAGATGACAGGGCCTTGCCTGAGGG